CCATCCGCGGGACAATGCCTGTTGACCTGCAGCGACTGCTGGTATGTTGCGGGGACGTACCCGGTGCACACTCGACCCTAATGTCCCTGCTCCTTTTGCATGGGCGTAGTGGCGGAATCTTAGCCGCCACAAAATGAAGGAACTAGAGGAATTAACCAAAAAAAAAAAGAAAAAAGACAGAGAAAGGTGAACTCGATATATAATTAGTGCTTTTTCATGAATATCTGCCGAATCATATTACATAATCGCTATAAATATATCGAAAGCACCAAATCTTTTCAAGCACATGAGAAAATTCCATATATGATCATCCATAAACGAACTCGAGGTATATGAAAGCCAGGTGGATACACAGTGCTGTGATTTGAATAATAAGAATGCTTACATCGGTTTACAATTCATGCAACAAATTCGTAACTTCAGCTTAGAAAGTTTTAAGTAATAAACATTACCTTTTGAATAGTTACGAAGCAAGTCGGATAAAGCATAAGAAAATAAAATGTAACTGTGACTGAAATTTTGAAGATGCAGTACAACATAGAAGACAAGAAGAAAGAACCAATAATAAAAATACTTTTATTTCGCACTTGACTAGAAATAAATAATTTGGGAATCGTACCCCAGATTACTTTATCGACATAGTCGATATATCTAACGACTATCAAGAAAACGTTAACGATACTTGTCATTATCATGAAAAGTTAATTTGCGTTGTCAAGCATGCATTTGAATATACTTTTCAATCTGTATTGTGAATTGCATCAATTGTGTCAATTCGATAAATATTTCTCTGATTAACATCTGTTACCAATAGTGGTATATAATGACATTTTAGTTGCAAAACAAAGGTGAAAGTTCGATGTGAAGTTTTACTATTTCACTTGCTCCTGAATTACACACACACGAGCACACATTGTTAAGTCAAGCGTAGTGAGCTTACTTTTGATTTTTGTGTCAAAATATAATACAAGGAACATGTTCCAATTCGATATTGCTATAGAAACATATTGCTAACGCATATATTTTCTCTTACAAAATTTTAATAAATATTACACTCTGTAATTAGTTTTGGTGTGATATTTTGTGAAACAATATCCAAGATGCATCCTAGGTTTGTCAGGACACGTATCACAGTAATACGAAATTTCCCGCCTACCTCGAGGCGTGTTGCGGTCAGAACAAACTTTACAGTCCCTTTTTGGCCCTTTTAGTATTACGTGGAGCTTCCCGTTTAATTGGATTTCATCGAAATGCGACGTAGACGCTTGCTCTCGTTGCTGGCGATACGACCCTCTTAATTGTTCGACAAGTGTTTTCAAAAATCGTAGATGGCTCAGTGGCTTTTCCCCTTTTTTGTTTTTTTCTAGTTTATACAAAATATATGAATTGATCAGGGAAATTTCCATTCCCCAGAATAAAAGCTTACGCCACCATTTAAGCGATTTTCGCAGGAAACAATAGGTTGACGGCATATTGGTCCACCCGATCAACACCGCCCATATTTTTTATATAATTGAATACAATATTGGGTTTCTTGACCATTATATCCACACCTCCTCGTGTAATTCTTTTGACCGTCGTCATTCCTGTGTCACCCGCCGTAGTCAAGCAAGTGACAACCCTCTTATCTTTCCATCCTAAAACTAAGGTGTTGTCCTGTCGATACGCGACCGTGGATTTTTTCGAAAAATTTGGCTTTTTTATTTCCTTGTGCAATCCTTTCCTGTTCGTTAAAATTGTTCCGGTAAGATTACATTTTAATTTGGCTAGTCCTTGCGCTAAGAAATAACTGGTGTAGTAGCGGTCCGTATACATATGGTGCCCTTGAGCACCTGGAATTTTTTCCAACAACATTTGATATAAGTGTATTGGAATTCTCGATGACACTGGTAAATCGGGTCTCACCAAGAGCTCTGTGGTGAGTGACCCGTAATATGGCAAAATGCAGCAAATGTAGCCAGTCTTTGAGTCAGCTAAAGCATAAACTCTGATACCCCATTTTGTGGGTTTCTTCGGATTGTAAGTTATGAACGAAATTCGACCCTTGAATTTTATAGTGGACTCATCCACACATATGTGCTCGCCCGGGATAAAATAATCCAAAAACTTCGAGGTGACATAGTCCAAAAAGCAGCTGCTTACGCGTTGTAGGCGCGTTCGTGGATTGGTGTTGCGTGTTGGAATAGTTTCCAGGTGAAGCATCCAGAAGATTTGGCTAAATCTATCTCTAGTAAATGTATCCGAATAGAAAGGAATATAACTGACGACATTCCTCGACCAATATTCTTGCAAATTGGCCAACGGCATCGTCCCCATATTGATTACGACAGCAAGAAATGCCCAGAACTCTTCGTTGGTCACATCACGCCAGCTTCGCCAAATCGAATTTGCAGATAGCGTCTTCCCTTCCAATTTTTTTTTTGCATATATATTGGTTTCACATACAATTTTTTTCACAAGGTCATTAGTGAAAAACTGTTTAAAAAAATCTATTGGTTGTTTTAAGTCAGATACTATTCGTGTTGCTGTGGGATTTTGGCCAGGTATAAATTGTACATTTGACGGCACTTCGTCGTAGTCTCCGCAAAGTTACCACGTTGAACTGCTTGCACCTTCCTCAGTTTCACTTTCAACATCACTCTCAGCTTCACTGTCGCTCTCTATAATTCTAATTTTCCGTCGTCTTACACCTCTTACTGTATCACTGTCTTCACCACTGGATTCTTTCGTTTCGCCGTGTAATCCGTCCGAAATCGCTGTAAGTTCATCATCCAAAGCGGCAAAATCGAATTCGTCCGAACTCGAGCTGATCTGATCTTCCTCCATATTTTTAGGGTTCAAATACTTTTTAGATACTATATTTGCTGCCAAGACTGTTTCAAGCGAATGCTACGATGAGACGCACTAAATTGAGCTAAGATTTGGCTACAATGTAAGCAGAGCCTAGTCCACGAAAGTACTTCCGACAAAACTATCTTATGTGCAAAGGGTTAAAAGGGCACCAACCAAAAACTACTGCGTAGAATCAATTGGACTTTTTCACACGCAAGCCTTGCTATATCAGCTCTCAAAACATATAATGCTTATGCGGCTTAAGTGTGAAGTTGACTGCGAAAAAATACAATTAAATCCTTTGTCGGGAAAAAACGAAATTACTTTCCGAACAACGCAATAGTAATATTGCCCTTTGGACTGCTAGGAGCTGACGCCTGGTGTGAACATAATGGACTTTGTCATACCACGCCACTGCTCCGTATGTCATTATGGGGAGGAAGGCTGATCTGTAGATAGCTTTTAGCGTTTTAAACTTTATCCCCCATTCTTCCTTTACTACAGTTCGCAGTTTCAAGATGAACTTTGTCACTTTATCCCTCAAATACTTGGCATGCGTGATGAAATTTGTGTGCTTATCGATCACGATTCCAAGGTACTTCACTTCGCTTTGGAATTTAACATTATTCTGCTCCACTTTGATAATTGGACCTCTAACTGTTTCTAGCCTACCTTTTAACAGGAGGCCCTTTGTTTTAGCAAGAGATATTTGCAGTTTATGTATTCTGCACCAATTTGTTACTGCTCTCTTTGCTATACTTTCGATTTCTCGTCTTGAGTTGGCTTTTATCAAGATGGTCAGGTCATCTGCATAAGCAACAACCTCCAACTCGCTTTCTTCAAATGCTAACGTACAGAAGCGCAGTAGCTTATCCAATAAAATATCAATTCCACGCATGGTATGCAAGCCCCATTTGTCACCCTTGATGGGGTCGGGACCTTTCTAAATCCGTACTGTCTCAGGAGGACAGCGCCCGAGCTGTACGAAACGCAACTCTCACGCCGCTGAAGGGCGGCCTTTTCCGCTTGGAGAGCCTCATTACCAAGCCCATTTTGCGAATTCTTTGATTGTGCACCTTTATAACAATAAAATGCTACACAATATTTTGATATTGCATCACATAACATCCAAAACTTAATACCCCATTTATGATGCTTCTTGTTGGGTAAATATTGTGTAATACTGGAGTGACACAGTGTTCCCACTAAAGACTCATCGATAGATAACATTTTGTGTGGAGTGTAATATGTTTGAAAGATCCGATTGGCGTGCTCAACAATCGGATTGAATTTAGCACATGGATCATATTTTTCGTGCCCCGGTGGAAAACATTTTTTATTATCAACGATATGAAAACATCTTAAAATATTTTGAAATCTGTTCCTTGAGAACATCTTCTTAAACCAAGGAATTGCTCTAGAACTTTCAGTCCAATATGAATATATTGTTGGTCTATTTGTTATCCCCATTTCCAATAGTACGGCTACAAATGCCTTCAGTTCCAGGATAGTGACAGGATACCAATTTACCATTCTAGAGTTATCAGTCCACCAAATCCACATGATTTTGATAACATTTCTTCTGCATATTCGTTTGTTTCCTCAACCATCATTGCCCAAAGAGAATTTGTGAAAAAAAGATTAAAATATTCAATCGGTTTGGCTCTATTAGATAAACGGCATCGCGGTCCCGACATTTCAATGAATTGAAATGAATTGCCTTGGTCAATGTATTCATTTTCCGTAACGTGTCACGTAAAAATTCGAAAGATGGTATTAAAAAAAATGTCAACCTCCAAATAGGAGATCGAGCTAGTTATTAATTACAAGTTGATGAATAAATACACGCGCTTCTTTTGTTTTTCTGTTTTGCCATCCATCCACATTCACTCGTCACCACGTATCACCTTTCATTCACAACAACTTAAAAGTTAAACATTCCCACAGTATGTCATCTTTATTGTTACTGTCATCTTCAACTTCAGTTTCACTGCCCGACTCAATTCGGTGCCGATGTAGTATACAAGCCCTTATATTAGGGCTAAATTACTCGATGAACTTTCCTCACTATTTGATGGTCGTTTGGAGAGTCTTTGTAAAACTGCATTGTCGGATGAAGAACTTGACTCATAATCTTCAGTTAAAGCCATATTTGTAAGTAGTAATTAAAAAATTGAATGAAAGCAAAAATTTACATAAAGAGTATAACAAACGCACTTATCTGTTTGTAGGACGCACTGAATAAGACTAATAAATCAGAGCAGCTGCTTAGCAATCCAAGCGCAACAGTTTGAAACAATTGATAATGGCAAAAATGGTCTACAGCGCCTCGGGGGTCACCCGACACACCTTATCAACTCACTCAACTCACTCTTATCAGTTCGTGTAGAGTGGTAACAAATAAGGACCTCAGGAATGTAACAACGGAAACAAATGAACAGATATGAAACCATGGAAATAAACGAAACGGGAGATTATTCTTGAGATCACCAGCGACTCGCATTACTGAAATATCGGTGGAAGTACCTTGCACATGTTCACGTCGTGTTTGGCCCACGAGAGCTTTCGTTCCAACCTTCTGCATTGCGAATGCTCTTGAGGACGTTGAAGCGCTTCGAAATCCCCAGTTCGTCACCTGGGGACGCGGCAAGTGGGGTACACCTCCCCTCCTAGCTGCTTAGACCAAGCAGGTCCTGTGAAGCACTGTTGTCAGTCAAATTCGAAGTGCCGTCGCCTAATTTCGTTAAATTAGGGATTAAATTGCCTTTAGTGTCTGGTGAGACTCAAAGTAATAAAAAAATTTTCTAGAAATGCATATGACATTGTAAAGAATTGAAATTCCGAAGAATGAACTGTTTTAGCATTTTTGACGTGGCTGTTGAAAGACCGTAATGGCATCTTCCAGACCTGCTTTCATTCCATGATGGAAGTGTTAATAAAATAATTCATTCGGTGTACACAAATTACAAACCGAGCACAATTTACTTAGTTTGCTGTTAAAATTAAACTGAACAGAATTCTGTTCATTGACAGAATAATCAACACTATCTAACAATTTAATTTTTTCTAAATTCGAAAAGATTGTTTGAGATTACGATAACTTAAGAGAATGCAATGCGAAATAATTAATACACTCATTTTCTTTTCAGTTTCTTGACTTAAACCACTTTCATAATAAAGGGCTCATACGGTCATTAATGGTTTTCCTTTTTTTTTTTTTTCGATGGAATTATATACCTTGATATTCTCTACAAAAAGGTATTAATCTATTTATATTCAAAAATCATTAATTAAAGAGATATTTTAATTTTAATGTTGTTAAGAAATTGTGATCTTTTTTGTAAATGTTGTAATAACTTTATTTACAGAAAAGGTTCAATGTGACAACTATTTACATCTTGAATGGAGACTGAATAGGACCACCTCGTTCTATCCAAGGATTTGAAAACCTTTGATTTAATGTATTTTTTGTGTGAGTTATGTTTTATGTTTCTATTGTAAATACCATCCCCAAGTATTATATAAAATTTAAAAACAAAATAAAGGAACAATCAATTTTATACATTACTACTTTTACATTTAATTATCTTCCATGAATTAATAAATATGATATAAAATTTGTGCAAAAAAACTTTATGTACGTTATAATAAATATTATCTTGTAATTGTAAAAAATTTGTATATAATAGTATTATAACGTTATTAATACTAATAAATGTATCAACGAGATTACAAATTTTATTAAATAAATGAACTATATACAAAAATAAAGACCTGTAGATTTAATATAAATAAGTAAATAAAACTTACCAATATTTCTGCACTTATTAACACTCTGTTTTTCAACTAGAAACCGAAATGTCGGTAGAGGATGTCTAATGATATAAGAAATTTAGCTTCAAAAAATACCGCTTATTTTATTGAGTTGCAGGTTATGTTCACCATGCAAAAACTGATTAAACACTTTATTTTTGTTTTCACTCGCGTTATTCGCGTCCTTTTGTTATGGTCACCATTTTTAACAATTTAACTTCTCTTTCGTAATAAATTTACTTTTAACAAATCTTTAAGAATGTCTTATTGCACGTCTGCTTTAATCTCTTTTCTTAGCAATCGCACTAACCGTTTAAGTGGTGCCAATGCTTTTTTCTGTTCTTCAATGCTGCCACGACACATATATAAACATAATATACTAGGATTACAACTGTTTTTATCAATATAATTAAACTATGGGTATTATATTTATATATAAATGTGTTATACACATATACAATATATTAATAATGCACTTTTTATTTTCACTGTTCGTATTTAATATTGGAAGTTTGCCAGCATGTAATGTATTTTCTTTTAGTGTGTTGGCTATATCGCTAGAGAATATGTGGTTTCGTGTGGCTATACTGTCCTTTCTCAATTTGTGTTTAATTTTCAATGCACGAACGGATAGTGAAATTCTGATGTTACCAAAAATGACTGTATTCGAAGTGGTTTTATCATTTTTGAGGAACAATTAAATTATTTATTTCTAGTTATTACAACTTTTTAATTGTATATTTACAAAGCAATGTGTCAAAATTTTATAAAATTATAATCATTTTTTTTTAAATGACTTTGAAATATTAATTGTTATAAACGAGAGAAATTTTGTTTTATAAAAGTATCAGAAAACATAATTTATGAATAAGTAATAAGTATTTAAAAAAGATAGTTTTCAAAGTTCATTTCATAAACGTAATGTCAGCGCCACCGTATACGTAATGTGAAATATCAGTTTTAACGTGTTCCATTCTGTAGATAATACTTTTGATGTGGAACAATTATGTAGTTTAATTTGTTTTAATAATCGGTATACGAACAATATTGGTTTCCTAACTGAAGTATGTTATAATTTACAGTGTGTTGTGAACTTCTTAAAATAAAAGTGCGAATGTAATAATATAGAAAAAAATATATTAAAATGAATATGTATATAAAAAAGTATTTCTAAAAATTAAATATATAATTAATATAAAAGTAAATTTATAATTAATAGAATATTAGGACTTTAAAGAAATGTTATAAATAAAAATAGGTCTTTAAATTTAATCAATAAATGTCAAACATGCTTACTAAGGTTAGGTTCATTCTGAAACACAATATTAACAGATCTTATAAACTTTTCTTAACTAGTAATATTAATAATACTCAACAATATGTAATTCAAAACAATGTTACATACTTCACACATGAAAAACTAAAATTAAAGAAAAGCTATTCATTTTTACTTGTTATTCCTTTTGTCACCAGTTTTATTGCCTGGAAAGGGTAAGTTTCACCTTTAATCATTTTTAACCCTTGTTTAGATAAATTAAGCTATAATTTGCTTTTTGTGCAAAACTTTGTAACCTAATGTAATTGTTACATTTGAAGAAAATATGATTTTTTTGTGTCGAAATACAATAATCAGTGGAAATATTTAATTGTTTAGATACATGAATTTTAACTCATGAGATATGTCATAATCTATATTGATTTGTAACAAAATTCATAATAGATATATTACTATATAATATACCACATACATTGAATATTTTACTACAAAACCCATACGTTACTCATATTGAGAAAATTCATTAAATAAATATGAAATTACGTTAAAACAGATATTAAAACATACTTAAAATTTCATTAAAAAGACTGTCATAAAAACAAATTGTAATATGGAGCATTGAATTATAAAAGTTATTGTCAAAAACATAAAGTAATATATTAATGCAGAATAATATCATAATATATAAAGCATTTAAATATTTATATGTACTATTCATGGTTTATGTTGGTACTAAATTAAAAAATATTAACCAAGAAGGTACCCAGTACGTCTCCATGTGACAGGTTAAAATATAACTTTTGATGTGGAACAATTATGTAGTTTAATTTGTTTTAATAATCGGTATACGAACAATATTGGTTTCCTAACTGAAGTATGTTATAATTTACAGTGTGTTGTGAACTTCTTAAAATAAAAGTGCGAATGTAATAATATAGAAAAAAATATATTAAAATGAATATGTATATAAAAAAGTATTTCTAAAAATTAAATATATAATTAATATAAAAGTAAATTTATAATTAATAGAATATTAGGACTTTAAAGAAATGTTATAAATAAAAATAGGTCTTTAAATTTAATCAATAAATGTCAAACATGCTTACTAAGGTTAGGTTCATTCTGAAACACAATATTAACAGATCTTATAAACTTTTCTTAACTAGTAATATTAATAATACTCAACAATATGTAATTCAAAACAATGTTACATACTTCACACATGAAAAACTAAAATTAAAGAAAAGCTATTCATTTTTACTTGTTATTCCTTTTGTCACCAGTTTTATTGCCTGGAAAGGGTAAGTTTCACCTTTAATCATTTTTAACCCTTGTTTAGATAAATTAAGCTATAATTTGCTTTTTGTGCAAAACTTTGTAACCTAATGTAATTGTTACATTTGAAGAAAATATGATTTTTTTGTGTCGAAATACAATAATCAGTGGAAATATTTAATTGTTTAGATACATGAATTTTAACTCATGAGATATGTCATAATCTATATTGATTTGTAACAAAATTCATAATAGATATATTACTATATAATATACCACATACATTGAATATTTTACTACAAAACCCATACGTTACTCATATTGAGAAAATTCATTAAATAAATATGAAATTACGTTAAAACAGATATTAAAACATACTTAAAATTTCATTAAAAAGACTGTCATAAAAACAAATTGTAATATGGAGCATTGAATTATAAAAGTTATTGTCAAAAACATAAAGTAATATATTAATGCAGAATAATATCATAATATATAAAGCATTTAAATATTTATATGTACTATTCATGGTTTATGTTGGTACTAAATTAAAAAATATTAACCAAGAAGGTACCCAGTACGTCTCCATGTGACAGGTTAAAATATTTGCAGCTAATTTTTTGAGAAAATGTTTCATATGTTACCCATAATTTCTTGTGGACATTCTTTCCTCATAATAAGTGCAATACGAAGCAATAAATAATTTGCCTTGAAAATTATGCTCCAAGTCAATTTTGCAGCTACTTTTTGCAATAAGTACACTATATTTATATTATTGTTACATACATATATTATTTTTTCGTAAATTAAAATAATATTAGGTAGTGAAACAAAAAACTGTTTAAGGAATGTTATTTTAAAATTTAAACAAAAACCTTTAACAAAAATTTTTAATAAAAGGTATAAGTTCCTATTTACAAATTTAATTGTGATCTTTATGCAGCTTATCAATATGATTGCAAAATAACGTTTCATAATTCATATTTACATGTTTCCAAATAAACTGGGTGCTCAGTGTACATAAATTTTTATTAAATTTTGTTTCAGTATAAATGATAAATATTTTTCTACCGTTAATGCAGCTGAAACAATCGTTCAAGAAGAATCAGATGATGAAAATCAATTGGATAAAATGCAAGAAGATAAAAAGAAAAAGAAGAAAAAGGAGACAATTGGTTTCCGTGAACGAAGGGTCAGTAATTAATTTGCATGCCAGTCCAATTTAGTTACTTATTGTACTAAAATTATTATGAAAAGAAGTGAAAAATTTATTTATATTTTATATTGTCTAATTTTTAAATATAATAATTATATAAAGCACTTTTAATATAGTATAGTGTAAACATATAATTATTAAAATTTAATCACGTTAATCATAATCAATTTAATTAAGCAATTTTTAGCATGAAGGCATAGAATTAGTTACATTAGTTTATTGAAGTATATTTTTGAAATTATGTTAATCGTCAATTTTGTTTGAAAGGATTTTGGCTCCTAAGAATCTTTGTTTAGTCTTTGTGTTTAGAGAATTTTACATGTTCTACCTTAATGGAATTTAGAAGGCAGATGCTTAATAACTTTAGTAGTTGATATTTTGCCTTTTCTTGAAAGCTCATGGCTAGTTACCAGTCAGACGTGATAGGACAACAGTTTTGTGTAATAAAATTTGATAATGTTTATATTTTTATTATTAGGAAAATATAATAAGCAAATTTTTGCTTCAAAAAGATTCAGAATATTTGAGACAAGTAATTTTCATGTACCAAACCAAACTATTATTGTATTGTTGTTGGTATCTGTTATATATTTTCATTCTTAAATAACACGTACTTGCAGATTACAGAATATGAAAATCGTTTAAGAGCGTATTCAGCCCCTGACAAAATTTTCCGTTATTTTGCGACTGTAAAAGTGACAAGTTTAGAAGGTACAGAAATTTACATGACTCCTGATGACTTCTTGAGATCAATTACTCCTGGCATGAAACAACCAGATGGTATTGTAATTTTGTTTTGGATTTTTTATAATGATTTCTTTTTACACCCATTTATTATTTTTATTCTATTATTTATCTATATACCTTCATGGTGTTATTTTTATTTTATCCAATTAACATCTGCTTTCTCTGTTTGAGTGGAACTAACGTAGATTCTATTTTTTACATTTTTACTAATATGGAGCTAGATTTAATGAGTTTTTTTTATTTATTAATATTTTCACAGTATTTCTTTATTTTTTAAGAACAGAAAGCTATTTGAAAGAATGTAATTCCAAAACTGGTTGGAACAGATCTTTAATATTAATGGAAATATATGAATTATAAAATTTGTCGCAAGATGTGATACTTAATAATGGCTTATAATTTTGTAAAGGGGAAAAAGTGTTAATTTTTTTATAATTATTTCATCTTGGATATAGGTAGAAATTGAAATAGGACCACTTTCTAAAAACTAAATAAACTTATTCAATTTGAAATGTGTTACCATACAGCATGTCTGGTACATTCACAATCATTGACATAGAATATTAACAGTATGCAGTTTTCTATTGTATGTCATACAGACTAACATTCACTTTGCTAATCTTTTTATTATGGTGGAGTTTTTATGTTTCAAAAATTTTTACTTTGACATTTGTTTACTTGAAATTCTGAATGTAATCTGATCTACTTGCTAAAATTATTTTTATATTTATAGAGTAACTCTTATTAAATCAGCATTTTTGTATGAAACTGTAAAATATAATAATTCCAAGAATATATCTTGCATACATATTAATTGCAAGTATAAAAATTACTTCATGAAATTGATATATGTATCTTTGCAAAAGAATTTAGGATAAAATGTGTATAATGACAACCCATAAAAATCCTAAATTTATTCTAATGTTAAATAAAATTTTAAAACATACAATATTATGAGTATGAATAGAGATAAATAAACTGCTAAAGGTAATATAAATAAATTAATTAATGTGAAGTTTATAATTCTACATACACGAAAATCATTAAGTGTACCTAGGAGACGGTTTGTTAAATTCAATGCAATTGTAACAAATAAATACATTTTATACTAAATGTTATAATCTTTATAATATTATTTTACCGTTTTCCTGTTAAATATATGAAAAATTATTTTCCATGCAGATAATAGAATACGAAAATCGTATGAGACACTATTCTTCTCCTGACAAAGTATTTCGTTATTTTGCTACTCTGCAAGTGGTTAACAATGACGTCCATGAAATCTTCATGACTCCTGATGACTTTTTAAGATCGATAACGCCTGGTATCAAACAACCGGACGGTAATTTTTAACCAAAACCGAAACATTATATATGTATAAATGTTCGTAGTACAGTTAACTTACTCAACTCTCGATTTAGGCGGTACATTTTATAAGTAATAATAATAATTTACTTGATACTATTTATGATTTTCTAACAATCTTTGACTAACTGATATATAATAACTTTGATAAATACTATAGAAAGATATATTTTCCAATTACATATAGCTTTACGCTAACTATAAAAAGTAGCAAGTAGATTTCCAATGGATCAATTTTTTGTTCCAATACAACTTTATTTAATTATATATTTATACTACATTTTGCTACCTCTTCTTGATTGATTTATGAAGGAAGGAAAAACTGATTGCTTTCAACAGAATACAATATTATTAAAAGCAATGAGTAAAATTAACATTTTCTGATCTTTTGTCTAGAACTATTACAGTGATCAAAATGATAGGCTTCAGTAAGGTTAACGGTAACTGTTACTGAGATAAAAATGTAATTATATGCACAAAGCTATTTTCATTATGTCACTTTAATTCTTATTGCTTATATATGCTATATTTGAGAATATATTATAGGTTGGTGGTAATAGTGTTATTGTTTGTACACATATGTATGTATATTTGTACTATACAGAACATAAACCTTTCTTTTTTAAATGCTTTTTTATACCAGTAAGTTTTATTGTACAATTCTTAATTACTTTATTTAACTAAAAAAGGTTAAGAAAAGTTACATAATAAATATTATCCCCAAATCGAGGGATGAGTACATATTGAAATTGTTAATTGTTTCATTGTTTTTTTTTTTTTTTCAAATTAATCTTCATATTGGCACTCAAATTATTTATGCTTGTAGTAAAGTTAGTAAAATACAGCCACAAATTAGCCTCATTTCTTCTTACGTGACTAGAAAAATAAGAATACTTTCATTAATCTTATAATTTTCTAAAAGCTTTCTGCAATGCAGTAATTAATTAGTATTGTTACATAATTGTTAAAGATATTTACGCATAGTTAACTTGTGGAGTAAATAAAATGTGAATAATGGAAAAAGAATTTAGACAAAAAGAACGAGGACAAAAAATTTTCAAACAATTATCAAAACAGTTTCTACTTAATACATTGAGCGCTGCATGATACAACAAAAACATACTCTTTGAAAATGCATTCACATAGTTTTAAAAGTAATATGATTATAAATATTTATGATTTTAAAGCGTTTAAAATAAATAAGATATCTCTCTGGAAATTATTTTAAACTGGATTTAAGGAATACTTGTGGAGTTGATAATATGATAGTATAATAAAATTAAATAAAAAAAATTGGTATGTAATATGTAATATGAAATTAAAATGTTAAAGAGAGATTAAAGTTTGGAGGTTTAGATGAATTCTTCAAGGGAACAATAATATAAATAAATATCTCACAAAAGTCACTGTTTGATATTTGTACAAAGTATCTTCTGCAATAGTACAGTTATGAAGAATGTTATTCTATACAAAGAATTAATAAAATGTATTACAAAAATTTGTCATGAATTCACTTTAAAAAAAAATTAATTTGAAAATCAAGTACTGATTGCCTTCAGACATTTTAATAATTAAAAAATTTACTTAGGAAGTATACAGTTTGTTTTTTCTGAACTATTGAAATGATTACTCATTTTCAAAAATGTTCAGTTCCAAAAATGCAATTTCTAATGAAAAGTTTTCATTGTATATTTTTTATTTGTTTTTTTATAAAGTTATTTTCATTTTACTACTTGTTATTATAGTTTATAGTTTACATATGTATTAAAAATATTAAAATATTACTTTTACTGTAATTTATTTGTGATTTTTGGAATGCTATTTCGAAGTTTATTATAACTTTGCATTAAAATAGTACTAAAAAAAAAAGAGAAACTAATTAGAATAATTCAAGAAAATTTTATACTTATATTTTAAAACTGCTGTTTATATTTTAGCTCTTTATTTATATTGATCTTTATTTATATTATATCTGAAAGTGACAAATTATATATGTTTTGCTTCAAGATACGAAGTTTTGAGTTTGAATAAATTAAAAAATTAATTACAACACAACTACAAATTCAATCTAATAGTTATATAATATCTTTTGTTAATTTGTAAAAATAACTGTACATTATATTAAAGCAAATGAATGTAATACTGTATAAAATAAGTGAAAAATTGATTTCTTTACAATTTTTAATTTTCATAATTACAAACATATTTCTATTTATATTTCCAACCTTTTTTTTACTTATGACTCCTTTCTAGACTTCAATATTCACTCTTTTTTTTATATCCCCCTAAAGTTAAAATTTATAAAAAAAATGCACATATATATTTATATTGTACTTTTATGTTCACAGACCCCAAATTTTTCTATTTTTTTTTTTGCATAGTTGCAAAAGCCTGTTTTAAATTAAGTATATTACTCTTGTTATTATGTGTTATTTTTTGGTATAACAGTTTTACATTATCTTTCTATTTTTTTAAAGTGAATGTTACAATTGCAGCTTTATCAGATTATCAGATTACAAAAGATATTATATAACAATTTGGTATATTATATTATTTACAAATATAATTTGATTATAAATATGATAATCTTCTATACGTTGTATGCACTGGTTTATATATGTACACGATTGAACAGATAAAATGTTAAAATCCAGCCATTGAAAATATTAAAATATTAACTTGAAATTTTTAGATATGAATCCTTATTTTAGATATAAATCGTCGGAAGTATTTCGAGTTTACGTACCGCCAGGTTCAAGCTATTTTTCATACGTATAGAATGTGTGTAATAAACATTTTTATATGAAGTATAGAAAAGAAAATATATGTCATTGTAAATATGTAAATAACAAAAATGATAAAATGAATAAAATGATTTTTGCCGCCATATAAGCGCCATTGGACCCTGCAAGTAAATATATCATGACGCTTATGTGGTGGCTTTGGTCTGTTAAGGATTAAACAGCACAGGGAGACTAATATAAAGTTTTTTATATTTAATAGTAAGGGTGTCCTTTTTCTAAATGAAATAACATATTAATATTGTATAATCGGAAATATGTTATTAAACCTAGCTTTTATTTCAAATATTTTTTTTATTCCACATAATAAGGAGTTATAGCAAATACTTTACAATACTTTACACGAGACAAGTTTTCTATAGATGTTTTCTAAAATGTTAGCCCATCTATACTATTTAACATTGGAAAATTTCAAGTTGATATCTATAACGGCTTTGAAGAAAACAGCTTTATCTTTCCCACATACATAACTATCTATGTATGTACGCATAAGCATACTTACATGTCAAATGCATGAAATATTACGTTCTTTTATGTAATTTGTGTAGTAATAAATTTGAATATCTTTCTATCTCCTTATATTTATTTTCAATATTTTTAAATGATCTAATTATTTTTAGGGCTTGGTTTGGATAAATACAAACGCTATGATCCCAAGGTACGTCAGATGTTCAATTTAAATTTTTTATAATGTTACAACATATCAGATGAATTTTTAGATTATTTACTTAAACGCTTCTATTTAATTTTCTCGACTAAATGATATGTAATCTGTGGAAATGTAAATATTTTATATTTTATGTTAATATTTATTATTTTAGAAAACATACAAATTCATACATTATTTATTTATTATCAGCTATTTAATATTTTTCCAAGTAAACAATATGCAATTAATGATGTAAATATACAATTGCTCAAATATTTGTTAATATTATATGTATGTCTTTCTCATAGAACATTCACACGAAATTAGAATTGGCCTTGGATGAGGACAGTATTTTTTACAAACTTGGAAGTGCTGGTTTAATTACTTTCTCCGATTATATATTTTTGCTCACCGTATTATCCAGTAAGTGATATTTATACTATTTCTCTATAATTTAATGAAAGAAAATATCGTAAAATATCTTATATGTAAAATTTGATTATTAATCCAATTGAAACATTCTGTAATAGAACGAATATTTATATTAATACGTTTATTTTGCTTTATGCTTCTTCGAAATTTTGACTCAATAGAAATATTTTCTTTCATAGCTGTGTATAATAAAGAAAAAAAATTTGAATCGAGTGTTGGTAATTAGAAGTAAATAAATAAAAAATAAAATATGAATGCTGAATATTAAAATTTAATGTCTTAAGTATTCATTTTAAAAAATGAGTAATAATTTAATATAAAGTAATTAATTACTTTGCTTCGTAATTTAATTAATGTAAAGAAAGAATGAAATTACAGCAGTTGTTTTGTAGAAGTATCATATATTAGCATATTTTGCTCATCCTGTATATTAAAAAATATGAAATGTCAGTAGGAAGTGAATTACAAAAAAGAGTAAAAATTGTTTATAAATAGTATTTACATAAAATAATGTTATCCAACCAAGCACTTTTTGTTTACATATCTACTTTTATGGTTTAAGCAATTTTGTTTCATATGAAAATTATATTATATACTGTTATTTCCGTTAATGAAAATTCATTTAAACAATTTAACACTCCACCTTTCTCTTCTTTTTTTCTTTTTTTTTTTTTCTTTTACAGCCTACATAACGGAATATGAATTATATTAAATTTAGAATTTTAAACTAATATGTTTAAAGTAATAATAATACATATACCTCATGTAATGTTTTTATAGCTTCCAGGAGACATTTCGAAATAGCTTTCAGAATGTTCGACTTCAATGGCGATGGTGATGTGGATTCTGAAGAATTTGGTAAAGTTGCAACATTAATTCGACAACAAACTAGTATTGGTAATCGACATCGCGATCATGTAATCACAGGTGGTACATTTAAGGTATTGAAATTTATTGTTATTTTGAGTATTTGTAATATTAATAATAATAGTATGTATACAAATAATCGACGTAAACAATAGTAATATGTCTTCCCCGAAAATAATTTTATAATGTAATTAAAAAAGATAGTAATACAGAAAAATTGTATTATCGAACATTACGTGAAACGATATTAACTAATAAAGTAGGGTGAATATATTCCTAGATTTCTTGATCAAATTTATATGAAATTACAGTAAATAGGGAATGTATTTTTGGTTTATAATTTAACATAGGAAATGTTTAAAATTCAAAAGAATGATACCAAATTTTTAACATTAGGGTAAGCATTAAGACAATATGTTATAAGAAAGTCACAAAATTAATCCAGTGCTGAAATGTCATATATATACCAATTATTTTATGACTATGTCTTATATTTAATTTCTAGGGTGTTAATTCAGCATTGTCTACATACTTTTTTGGATCAAACATGAAGGGAAAGCTAACAATTGAAAAATTCTTAGATTTTCAGCAGCAATTGCAAAAGGAAATACTCAGTTTAGAAGTGAGTTTTAAATTATATCACTATAAATTTATATTAAACATTTATTAAATTATTATATTCATGCATTTAATACAAAATGTAAAAAATATTTTCTTCTTATATCTACATAAATAGTGTTTTAAAGTTTGGTTTATATGACAAGAGAATTAAATAATTAGTAATGAAGAGGAAAAATAAAATGTTATAGTTTGAACGAAGAAATCCTGATGAGAATGGTCGAATAACTGAAGTAGATTTCACAGAACTATTACTTGCATATGCTGGATATCCAGATAAAAAGAAAGCAAAAATTAGGAAAACTGTAAAAAAACGGTAAATATATAAGTAATTAATAATTAAAATGAACTTTATTTCTAAACAGAAAATTAAATATTTAAATACATAAAATAAATTGTATTTTTTTAGCTTCAAGGATAATCCAAAGGGAATAGAAAAAAATGAATATTTGAAATTCTTTCATTTTTTAAATAACATTAATGACGTAGACACGGCTTTGACCTTTTATCATATTGCTGGAGCATCAATCGATCAAGGTATTTTATAATATTAAAATAGTATTTTTATCGTAAATTATATTTTTTCTCTTTTAATATCTTAGATTATTTCAATTTTTGTTTAAATATGTTATTTCTTACTATATACTATATTTTCACATGATATAAATAAGTAACATTACAGATATTCATTAATATTTTGCATGAAATAAATACTATGAAGTAATTATATTTAATAATTTTTAATCATTCAAATCATACAACTGATTTTATATTTTAATAAACTAATAATCATTCTGTATACTTTTCTTAAATAAATTTTGATAATATTTTATAACTATATAAAAATTTTAATAGTATCTGATAATCTGTATCAAAATTTAATTCATTTTCATTTTGTAGCTACATTAAAACACGTAGCAAGAACGGTAGCTCATGTTGATTTAAGTGATCATATAATACAAGTGGTGTACACAATTTTTGATGAAAACAGTAAGTTTATACACTATAACAAAATTAATGGAAAATATAATAATATCAAATAATTAATTTTTGTTATAATATAATGTGACAGCTAATTATTTTTTTAAATATATTTATTAATATGAATAATGTATTTTACTATTTTTTTTTTTTTTTTTTTTTTTTTTTTTTTTTTTTTTTTTTTTTGTTT